GGAAGGACTCCATGGCTTTTGTGCCTTGAGGCAGGACTCTGGAGGAAAACAACCAGCAGTAGCTGAGAATAAAGTCAGGGGTCACATGAGTGATCCTCACCAGGAGGGGTGGCATCCTAGGGAGCTAAGAGAGCAGGATGCTGTGACAGTGAGGCCACTCTCAATCATCCCTTGAAGGCCATGGAGAGGGGGGAAACTCCCTGGTGACTGGAAGCACCCAGATATCTAATGCACTTTTCAAAAATGCCCAAATGATGAACAGGGGCACTAAAGGCTCAGCCCCAGAGACTTAGGGCCCATTTCTGGGTGTCTGAACGGGAAGGTGACTGGATTTACCTAGGGCAGATGGTGTATGGCCATCGTCTTTGTTTTCCATGAGGAAAGGGCATGATTGCTGGACATGGAGAAGCAGTGGTTGTCTTTCACCTGAAAGTCAGCAAAGCTTTCAGTACCACCCCCCTACACCCCCCAATATTTTTGTGTTCAAGATAGGATATTATGATCTACATTGGTGAATAAGCAGGTGGGTAAAAAACCAGCTGGATGGTCAGGCTCAGAAGAACGTGGTTCATCTGCCTGGTGTTCTGCCTGGAGGCCTGTAGCTAGTAGGGTCCTGCAGGGGTCTGTCCTGCAACCTGCCCCAATAAACATGGTTTTAATGACCCGGATGAGATGAGAGGGTGGGTTTTCATCACATTTGTAGAAGACACTCGATGGAGGAGAGCAGACACTACAACGGAGGGCAGGGCTTCCATCCCAAGGGACGTATACAGGCTGGAGGGATGGGCCAATAGGAACCTCATGATATCCAGTAAGTCCTGACCTTGAGGTGGATGGAGCCCCTGCAGTGATAGATGTCAGGGACTGCCTAGGTGGGTAGAAGCTCTATGGGAAAGGCTCTGGTGGTCCTTGAGTTTCATTAGGCAAAACATGCGCCATCAGCAAAGCAAACCAACAGCATCCTGGGCTCCATGAGCAGGAGCACAGCCAGGCAAAGAGATTATCCCACTCTGCTCAGCACTTTTTACACTATATCCAGAATATTTCCCAGGCTTTGAAACTCCACAATGCCAGAGAGTCCTTGAAAACCTCGATCCAGTTCAGTGGAGGACCACCAAGGTGATCAGGGCTTGAAAACTTGTACTGTGAGAAGAAGCTTAGAGATTTGGGCTTGATCAGATGGGAAAAGAGAAGATCTTCGGGGGGATGACATGTAGAAATTTTACAGAGTTCCCTGGAAAAATGGGACAGGCTCATGTCCATGGTACAAGACACCAGGACAAGAGGCAATGAGGTGAAACAAGAGATTGTAAGGCTAGCTATAGAGGGAAACTTTTCCAGCATGAAGAAAGTAAAATACTGGAAGCTGTTTCCCAGGAGCATGTGCTGGCTCTGTCCCAGAAAGTGACCAAGATGAATTTGAATAAAGGCCCGAGTAATACGGTCTGCCCCTGCCTTGAGCAAGAGGTAGGTTGTTATACGTCTGGAGGTTCCTTCCAGGCTGAATGACACTGTCCTTCCTTCCCTTTCATGGTTTTTACATTAGGGAAAGCACTCAGGTTCTCCTTGACCACAGAAGTAAGTTGCAGGTGCCCCCAGGCAGCCCTGATCACTTCCATTGCTTCCATTTTGGTGCCCTCTGCCCAAGCTCTTCTCTTTTACTATCCTAATACCCTGAAAAAGAACAACCTGCCCTGTCAGTCCATTCCCCATTGGCCGTGCATTTCTTGCTTTGTACCCTTTTACGGTATTTCTGAGATGGTTGCTGTGGTATTTTCCACCCTAGGTAGCAACTCTGTTAAGTGCATAATTCTCTTCCATTATCTATAGTGTCCTGCAATTCTCCATATTCTTCACTTGTTTGAGGCAGCGTCCCACAAAACTTAAATGCTGACACATTGGAGTTACAGTCCAGAGGGACCTTGACACGCATGGATTTGTCAAAAAAAATTCTCCTGAAGTTTTACAAGGCAAAGGGGGCAAGGTCTGCACCGGGGGCAGAAGAAGCCTGGTGCACTGGGGCAGTCTGTGATGTGACTGGCTGAGGAGTCCTGAGGAGAAACTGAGGAGTTATGATGGGTGTCATATGAGTCAGTGGGTTTCTCAATTTGGAATTAGGATGGAGAACCTGGAGAAGGTCCAGAGGGGGTCTGTCATGGTGGGATTAGGGGCCTAAAGCACAGGAGCTGTGTGAAGAGGCTGAGGGAACTGGGCCTCTTTAGCGTCCTGAAGGGGAGGCACAGGGAAGTCTAAAAGCAGGCAGCACCTCCCTGGAGCGCTGATGGTGGAGGCAAGCCCTTCTGCAATGGCAGATGGTATGGCAGAAGCAACAGCCACAAGCATCCTCCTGGGACCTTCACACTGAACATCAGGAAAAACTGACTAAGGAGCTGGTGCTGCTCTGCAGCAGGACACCCAGAGACTCTCTGTGACCTCCTTCTTTGGAGGTTTTCAGCTCACCAGGGTGCCCCAGAAGAAGAGATTCAGCTAGAGGTGAGGGTGTCTACAACAGAGGCTTATGGGACAATTCAGGGTGGAATTGTCCTGTGCTCAGGAAGTCTCTAGCCCTACCTTTGATTCCTCTTTACGTTTCCTGACCAGTCTCCTTACCCATGTGATGCTTTAGGCTGTGAAGACAATCAAAACCA